AAGGGAGAGGCACTTCGGAAGCAGCGGAGAATGCTGAGGTGTTAGAATGAATAGGCAAAAAACCCTGCTGGTAAGTGACTGGGCCACTAAGGGGCCACTTGAAATGGTTACTGCAATGCCTGGCACAGCGTTTGCGTGAAGGAGGCCTGTCTGCACACCTCGAACACCATATGTTAATTTGCCATGGGAGGGAAATGGCCCAGGTTGATTAGCCATGCCCGTTTATGCAGGACACATCATCCTGTGGGGTAACCTTGCTGCCCTGCCTAAACTGGAGACCAGGAAGCAGTTTCTGAACGGAAACTAAAAGACCTAAGAGAGTCTTTTGTGGGAACATGGTAAACTAAAGTTTAACGAGCCACTACTCACTTAGAAGTCCACTCCCTGCTGGCCTTTTGTTTCTGGTATGTTGGTTGGTTGGTACGGGTGTGTGCATAGTTTATTTCTTACATAGCCGTAATCCTGTGTTAGATGTGTTGGGAGGTACGGGGACAAATGGCCATCCTAAGGCCTCATTGGATGAACAGCCTCACCCTGCAGTCAGAGCACAGTCCCCACAGACAGGCAGCTGACACAGTGTCTCTGTGACCCTCTCTCCCTCGGTCCCAGTACTCCTTCAGGACCATTTGTTCAGCATGGTCCCCTTCCATATGTACAGCCCTGGGCTGGTGGAAAAGTGGTTACGAGTTGGGCTGTTAACTGAACCGTCAGCAGTTCAAAACCACCAACTGTTCTGCAGGAGAAAGACGGGGCTTTCTACTCCTTTAGAGTCACCGTCTCAAAGCCACAGGGGCAATTCTTCCTATTGGGTCTTGCCAGGAAGGAACCTTGGGGAAGCAGGTGGAAGCTGGATGCTCTAGGCCAGTGGTTCTCAACCTTCCTAATGCTGCAACCCTTTCATACAGTTCCTCATGTTGTGGTGACCCCCCAACCATGAAATTCTTTTCTTTGCTACCTCATAACTGTTATTTTGCTACTGTTATGAATCAGGCAACCCCTGTGAAAGGATTGCTCAACCTCCAAAGGGGTCCCAACCCACAGGTTGAGAACCGCTGCTCTATGAGTACGTAGATGGACACCTGGGTTGTCAGGTACATTTCCTGTGAAAAATGAGCTCAAAGAGACTGTCTCCCTTTTCTCCTGGCACAGCTACCTCAGGGATATTCAAGTTCACTTGAGTCAGCTGCACGTGGGTTTTGAGCTCTATGGCGGTTATGTGTCAGGCTGAGATCAGTGGTTCAAAACCACCAGTTAGTTGCTCCTTGGGAGAAAGACGGGACTTTCCACTCCCGCAAAGAGTTTCAGTCTCAGAAACCCACAGGGGCCTGGTCTCCCCTGTCCTAGAGTCACTGTGAGTCAGAACTGGCTCGGTGACAGCGAGTTTGGTGTTTGGGTTTGTTTGTTTTGTAACACCCTAAAGATGAACAGGTATGTGCCACCTAACACCTAAAATGAGTTCTGCTAAACAGGACGTTACGTGATTTGGACACTGTGGGAACACCTCACATGAAAAGCGATGCCAGCCCACTTCCTGTCGTCGCCGCCGCCGCCGCCGCCGCTGTTGGGACTGGAGCTTCCGGAGGAGGCAGTGGGATGGGTCGCGGTAGCAGATGAGAGGGAGACAGTGGGAGTGGAGCAAGAGGAATCTCGTGGGGAGGAAGCAGAGCACATCCAGCCCCACCTGCAGTTCCACTTACCTGATGAACAGGAGCAGCCCCACCCCCCACCACCTGCTTCTGCCTCCTCCCTGCCCACTGGACCAAGCCTCAGAGACCTCACTGTCCCTGGTTCTAGGCCTTCTTTCTTCCCTGGCCAGAGCGAGAGACTCTTTAAAACAATGAACAGAAGAGCTGCTTTCCCTTTAATAAAAGCTCATGGACCGTGGACATGTATACCATTGGACTTGGCCTGAATGGGTGTTAAGCAGCATGTAACTATGTTCATCTCTCTTGACTTCTTAATGATGGCCTTTCCCCCCAGCTTACGCTTCCCTATGCCCTTTCCTAATAAACTGGAGGGTATCAGAAACCTATATTAGTTCCTTCCTGGCCAAGGATGTCCACACTGTTGGCTTCTGTTTCCCTCACAGCAGAGCATCCTCTTAGCTCTCTCTGGCTCCCACTTAAGGAACCTTTACTTGGTCTCCGCCCAGGAGTCAGCCTGGACTCCCACCCCTTTCCTGAAGTTCCCTCTCCCCTGACTCCCTCTGCCAAAGCAGGCACGTAACTGCCAGATGCTCATCCTCACCTTGACATCTCACTCCAAAGCTCGTCCTTCCCCATGGCCCCCTCGCTAATCACATATTCAAACCAGTCATGACAAATGATGATAGGAAAACTGTAAAAAGAGTGTAAAAATAAATTCTGTGGCTTAAAAAATTACACAAAGGGGAACTTGCAGTTCTAAGTAAGAACACACCATTCAATGTCTCCTAAGTATTTTTATTTTTTAAAGTAGCACAATATCTAATGTGACTATCAAGGACTTTGAAAGGTAGATTAGTGAATAGAATGGTGTTGGTGGACGAGGTAGAGAGATCAAGACTAAATATTCCAGGGATCAAAGAGACAGCCTCGAGGTAAATTAGAAAACAGGTTTAAATTGAAAATACGGTGTGAAATTTGTAGAATTCTGATGAAGCGGTACGACAATAGACTATAGGACTGCAACCTTTTTGTTTTAGTCATCTTACTGGGGGCTCATACAACTCTTATCACAATCCAGACATCCATCCATTGTGTCAAGCACATTTGTAGTACTACAAACATATTAGAAAAGAAGAAATGTTTCAAAGAAATAATCTTAGCTTTCACTCAAACCAAAAAAGAAGAGTGCACTAAACCTCTAAAGGTAAAACAAACCGAAAAATCAATAGCATCCAAAAATGGTCCTTCAAAGCAAAATTAGAGGGCTCTAGTCAGATTAATCGAAGTAATGAAGGAAGACACAAATTACTACATCCGGAACGCAAAAGGATATAGCCCAAATTTAAAATGGGAATACCATGGATAATTCTATGCATACAAATTCGACAACTTAGATGAAACTAGCAAATTCCTGGAAAGAGACTTAAACTCATTCAAGAAGAAATAGCTAACCAGAATCTTCCTCTGAGGGTAAGTCACAAAGCATTGCTGCATGGGATTCTAGTTCATGCATGTGGGGTGTCCACACAAAACATGTTTAAATGTGTCTCTGTGGTCAGAGAGGCCAGCTGAGAAGGTTATGGTGACTGGTGTGGGCATTCCCAAGGGGTCATCATGATAATTTTTTCCCCAAAGGATACAGGCCTGTCATGGGAGCTTCTCATGAAGACGTCTTTAAAAGTTTGAGGCAGCTTTGGTGAGC